GTAAAATTCAAATATTTCGACCGTTATGAGAAGGGGGAATCGGTACCTCATGGAGGGATCGGTACCTTCCGAGTAATCTGTTATTTCTCGGAGCCAAAACCTTTCAGGGGGTATCGGTTCCCTCATTTGGGGGAAATCGATACCCTTTGAGTAAATTGTAATTTTTGGCTTGAATAGAGCTCAAAATACTGTAAAATTATTTCAAAAATATTTTAACATTGAAACTTAATTTTTGCACTTGAGTAAGAATTAAAATTGACATTTTGAAAAACTTGGAGTAATATTTTGATATTCGAATAGTTGTATCGAATATACTTTGAAAATCTTTTTTAAAATCTTAAAATTCATTTAACTTAATTTGTTATATCAAAACATCAAAATGTTTTCAACATAATTAATATAAACATTAATAATAAATATTAACATAATGTAATTTAACAATAGTGTATAAGTAGATTTATTAGATATAGAGATAAAAAAAAGTTAAGGAATACACCTTTTAACTTTTATCCCACGTTGCCAAGAAACATAACATAAATACTCTAATATGCCTATTTAAGCTAACCTCATTAAACTCTTCAACTCATGGAACTAATATGTATTAAATTACGATGTTAGTTCCTATAGTTTTATTTTTTAAAGCATATTTTTTTAAAATACTTTGAGAGATGATGTGGACTTATGGAAGGCGCGATTCATGATCTGCGCCTTCCCTTATGTGGCGCCAGCTCAGATAAAACCCCGTTACTTCTCATAAAAGATGTTAGATCGATAATATTAATTGAAAAAAAATGTCTGACAAGTAATTATTATTTATACATGTGATATTTCGATAAAATCGCCTAATAAAACTAGGGACTTCAATAAAAAAAAATTAGGCCGAAAGTTGATATCAAGTCCAACTAAAATAATGGAAAAGACATCTCTGATTGAATCATTGACTTTCATGCCGTACAATAATTAACGAACCAAAATGAAGAGGCATTTTTCTCGAAAAATCACCGTTGAACAGTATATTTTTCGATCAGGCACCCGTCAGATTATATTTTTCGATCTAACACCCATTACAGTATAGCGTGCCCCAAGGGGCGCGCTTTACCATACGTGGCGTAAAGCGCGTCCCCTGGGGCGCGCTATACCTGATTTGTAATAAATCTGGGTGTTAATTTTGTAAATATTTTTAAACTGATGCCTAATATGTAATTAATTTCTGTTAGGATGATATTTGTGTAAAAATGTCAATTTCAAAACAAACCAATCTGCAGCTTTAGACAAACAATTCTGCAAGGAATCTTTGATGGCCTCCACACGTTTTTACTGTCTTTCTTTTGTCTCTTCCGCTACCAGATTTAAATTACATTTACCCTACTCTGACGGATTCAATTACAATGTATTACCCCCACAATTTATTATTCGATTTTAATTATCCTTTTTGTTTAGCTTTAATTTTTTTTATTTAGAAATATATTAATATTATTACAGAAAAGTTAACTTGTTATTTCCACATAATAATTATAGAAAAGTTATACAATTTAATTAAATAAAAATAATTAAATTTATATTTTATATATAATATATGAATTAATAACACAATTTGACAGCCTTAAAATATTGCTATGATCCTTTGCATTATTTGGAGAATTCAGCTGAGTCCTTGCTTTTATTTATTTGTGGTTGGCACTGCCACTGCCAATGCAGGGAGTCAGAGTTGCCTTACAAGCTGTGCTTTTTAATTCAATGCTAATCACTTTTGTTTTGTCTTTTTTGTTTGATTGACTGTTGCAAACAAATCAGACTTAAAAATTATTATTTCTTTATTTAAAATATTTTTTATAATATTAATTATAAAAAATATAAAATAAATAAAAATGCAATAAAAAGAATTAAAATGAATAAAATTCAATAAAAATATAATGTAAAGCTAAAAAAATATCACCTCTTTATTTAAAATATTATTTATAATATTAATTTTAAAAAATATAAAATAAATATTAAATTTTAATTTTATTAAAAAATGAATAAACATTATAAATATTATTAATACATATATTCTTTTGTATGAATGTTATAAAAAAAAGAGTTCATACGCGGGAAAAAATGATGAGACAAAACAGTTTTTGTGAAGATTGAGCAGAAAAGATCAACTCTTTGATCGAATGTTTATTTGTGGTACAATTGAGTTGATATTTAGACAACAGTTAGACAATTTTGAGTTATTAACTTTGTATGATCGAATTTTCATTCGATTCTTGTAGCTTTCCACACCTACGACTGTTTAACAATCATAAACTTTACTTTAGGTCTTGAAAATACAATATTTTAAAATTAATTGTTTAAAAATATAAAAAATACTAAAATAAACTTTTAATTACACTTGAGAGATCAAATGAATTATTATTCATTAATTTTTTTAACAACAGTTAATAATGTTTATTCATTTTTAATAAAATTAAATTTTAATATTTATTTATTTTTTAAAAAGTGAATAATAATTTTTAATATTTTTAAAAAATTAATTTTAAAAGTTAATAAATATTATTAAATATTAAAAAAATTATTAGTAAAAGAAAGACAGTAAAAACGTGTGGGGGCCATCAAAGATTCCTTGCAGAATTATTTGTCTAAGCTGCATATTGGTTTATTTTGAAATTAGTATTTTTACACAAATATCACCCTAACAGAAATTAATTACACATTAGGCACCAGTTTAAAAATATTTACAAAACTAACACCTGGGTTTATTACAAACCAGGTATAGCGCGCCTCAGGGGGCGCGCTTTACTTCACCTATGATAAAGTGCGCCCCATGCAATGGGTGTTAGATCAGGAAATATAGTCTGACGGGTGCCTGATCGAGAAATATACTGTTTAATGGTGGTTTTTCGAGAAAAACGTCAAATGAAGAGGCTCTGTCCACCATCAGTTCCAATAGACAAGCTAAATAATAATAATAATTCTTTTATTATTATTTTAAATGAATATTTTTAATAAATATTTATAAAAAACAATAATTATGAATGTGATTGTTCGATCAATTTTTTTAAAATTAATCATATTTTATAATATTAATTCTGTTTAAAAAAATCTTCAAATTAAATAGGATGAAACAAAATTTTTGTCGTGTCAAATGGAATTAAATAAATTTATTTAAATTAAAAGATAAATCATATTAAATTAAATTCTAAATTAGTATAAATAAATTTAAAATCATATTTGTTTTAAAACTCTATAAAATAAAACAAACAAAAACAAGATAGAAGAACTTGGTTTGATAAATTATTTGTTTAAGATTTAAATTTATTATTTCTTAAAATATATTTTTACAACTCAACGTTTTTTTTTATATTTTTGTAAATTTTTTATATTTTTATGAAAATTTGGTATTTTTATATTATTTAAATATTTTTACATTCTATAACATTTTAAAAATTAATAAACTAAATAATATATAATCTTAGTGGTTAAGTGATTTAGTATTATGTTTTGAGATATCGGATTTAAGCATCACATATATCATAGATATAAACGTTTATCGTTAAATGATCAAAATTTTTTAAAAAGATACCACCTTGTATATTATTGTATTAAATTGTAGTTTATCGTTGAATAATTTAGTAAAAGTGTTACTAAAAGTCAAAACAGTTAAAATGTATATTTATTTATAGGGTAAACTACATGGTCATCAAATTTTTAGGATGTTTGCATTTTAGTCACTTAATTTTTAAAACTTATAATACAATTACAGAACTTTTAGTTCGTTTTCAATAAGATCTTTGACGTTACCTCTCGTTAGTTTTATCTGACGTGATATGCTATTGTTATTTTTCAGCTTAATAAACATTAAAAAAAATATTCTGAAACGATGCTGTATAAATTAAGTTTAATTTGGTTTTCTAGTTTAGGCTTTATTTTATAGATTATTGGCTGCTAGTGGATGAAAATGAGGGGGAGAAGGACTCGATCGAAGGCTTGTTCAAGTGTGGTGGACGATAAGTTGTTATTTCTAATGTATTTGAACATTTATTTCTGATTTAATTCACGTGTTACCCAATTGTCTGAAATTTGTTTAAATCTTTTGGAATATGAAATTGAGGGAATTTTCATATTCTGGAATTACTATTTGTCATATTAAATATGATTTTAGTCCCAATAGGTTCAAAACAAAACAAAAATAGAGTGAGTTGTAATTATTTTTAGGGTTTTCAGTCAAAATTTTGGGTGAGAAATTTTTTAATACTCTAAAATGGGTTAAAATGATTATTTTATTAAGTTAAAAAATAAAAGTAACATGCCACGTCATATAAAATTAACGAGAGGTAATGTAAGAGATCTTACTAAAAACAAACTAAAAGCTTGGTGACCAAAATGTAAGAGTTCTAAAAGATTGTAAACCATTTGTGCCGTTTACCCTTATTTATAAAGAGAGGATATTTAAACGCGGAAAATCCAGCGCGTGAGAAGAAGTTGGGGAAATATCGTGGAAGTGAGTTAGCGATATTTCTGGGGAGTTGGTGAGAGATAGGAGGAGCAGACTGGAATTTGAAAGCAATCCATTTTCAATTCTATTTTACTTTTCTCTTTAACCTCTTCACCTAAGCTCTTACCACTAGCGGTGGCGCTTCACATCGGTGTTTGTTCGTCTGCAATGACAGAATCCGGCACTGCTTAATTTTGGCTCTTTCTTTACTTCTCTAGATTTTTAGCCGGAAACGAAGCAATCGGTCTTCGCCTTTTCCAACCCCCCTCTACATTGAACAATTACGTTAGGAAGAGAAGCCAAAACAATAAAGGTATGTTACTCGTTTATCTTTCTTAATTTCACTTTTCCTTTTAGATTCTATTGGAGAATTTTTGAGGTAAACACAGTGGCGGACCAGATATTTAAGATCGGGTTTAAAATTTTAATTTTCTTTCCGTAAAAATAACGAGTATGCAAAAATTGTAATTTATATCTTTTTTACTTAATATGTTAAATTAAATTTAACTACTCTTCTAAAATAATGGATGCACTTGACCATATGGGGCTTAGTGCATCCGCCACTGGGTAAACATTGTTAATTTAGTCTTGTGAATGTGCATTTCCATAATTCGACTAGTTTTGATTTGATTAAGAAGGTTAGGTGAAGATTTGTTTTAGTTCTCATTTAAAAAAATGTTTCAATTCCATGAATTCTTAGATCGTTTTGACAATGGTGATTAGTTTTTCCCCCCTTTTTCGTACATAAGGGAAATTCAAGACAATGGGAATTGGGATAAAGTATTTGGATACTTTGCACGTTTTTCATTCGATTTTGCATTGCAAATTGTGACAGGTAAATACTTTTCATTTTGGATTGCTTATCAAATCTATGCTATTTCAATCTTTTTCAGATTCTAGAGAGAGAGAGAAAAAAAAACCCGTGTTAAATCCTTCCAAAAGGGAAGTTAATTGGACAGATGGCAGTTGTTACGAAGCAATCTCCTGAAGGTGGCAATGATGTTTCTCCAACGCCACCTCCATTACCAGGCCCAACTACAAACTGTCGGCGGAAGGGGTTATTTGTGATGAACAATGGATCGGTAACAAAAGGTGAGTCAACTGCCATGAGAAATATGTGGGATAACCTCTTTGATGGAGGCTTTAGGGCCGATGTTACCATTACAACTGATAATGGTGGAATCATCTATGCACATGCTGCTGTTCTTGTAAGTCCCTCTATTCCCATCTCTGATTTTGATGATAGTAAAATCCCCTTTATCTGTGTGTCTTTTTGAAATCAAGCTGTTTTAACTGTATAAGAAAGTAGATCAAATGATAACTATTTAACAGTGCTAACATGGTATCTTAATTTAGCAATTCAATCTATTCATTGGATATTTTGCCTATAGGGCATGGCTTCTCCTGTCTTAAGAGGCTTGCTGAAACAAGCAAAAGGCTCTGGTCGTAAGAGATCAATTTCAATCCCTGGTGTTCAGCATGATGCAGTTCGGGTTTTCATCCGGTTCTTGTACTCTTCCTGGTAATTACCCTTTCCTCATTAGAGATTTTGCCGAGCACAGTTCAAAAACCAGTAGATTAATTGGAGAGGGACTTTAAAGTTTTGTGGGGAAAGTGCATTATGTTCAAAAGATTCCTGAAGTCTAGGAAACAGTTCTTTAAGCATGTCTTCTGTCCTTTATAAATGTCAAACTAAATTGAAGGTAAAAGTAGGGAAACTGCCTCTGATATCTTGTGGCTGAATCATGCTACTATGTGCTAATTGTAATTGGTTTTTATTTGTAGTTATGAACAAGAAGAAATGAAGGAACTTGTCTTACCATTGTTGGTGATGTCACATGCATATGTTGTTCCTCGGTTGAAGCAAATTTGTGAGCAACAACTAGAGGATGGCTTGCTTACACTAGAAAATGCTGTTGACGTCTTCCAGCTTTCTTTACTTTGTGATGCACCTCGGCTCGCACTGATTAGTCACCGTATGATCCTAAGGAACTTCAAGGCTGTTTCTGCAACCGAAGGATGGAATGCCATGAAGAAGAGCCATCCATTACTAGAAAAAGAAATTTTGGAATCCATGATTTATGAAGAAAATGTAAGGATATTTCTTTGTAAGGCTGTTTCCCATTGTTATTAGCACTTTGGTCTTAAACTCTAAATCCAATGGTAAATGTAATTTCCTAGATTGGAAAAGAGAAAATCAGAGAATCGAACGAGCAGAAGATCTACCTTCAATTATATGAAGCAATGGAGGCTCTTATTCACATTTGCAGAGATGGTTGCAGGACAATTGGTCCATGTGATAAGGATTTTAAAGAGGACCAGAAACCTTGCACTTATGCAGCCTGCAAAGGGATAGAATTGCTCGTTCGCCATTTCGCCGGTTGCAAGTTGAGAGTCCCTGGAGGCTGCATCCATTGCAAAAGAATGTGGCAGCTACTGGAGTTACATGCTCGCCTCTGTGCGGATCCAAGCTTGTGCAGAGTTCCTTTGTGCTTGTAATTAAGACTTTTCTTCTCTCTCTTTCAACATGCTTGATGTCAATTTTGTTCACAAATATAACTAATTTATCTGCATAAATAAACTATATGTCCAGTTTTATATATTGTGATGATATAGAATATTGAAACCCAACTTTTGATTTCAGGAATTTCAAAGAGAAGATCAAGAAACAAGGCAAGAAGGATGAGATCAAGTGGAAGATGCTAGTGAAAAAGATCTTGAGCATAAAGAGAATTGGGGGTGAACCATTCTTTGTGTCCTTAAATTCCATTTCTTCCTGATAAATCAAAGTTCTATCTATAGAAGGTTCAAGCCACCTGCTACCCGCTTAGCACGTACAGATCGACACCAAACAAGGTGTGCTTTTTTTTCTTCTTCAAGTTTAGACTCATTCAACTAAGTACTTTTTAATACTTAAATATTAATGTATAATATATATATCATTTTTTTAATTGTAAATGGATAGCTTGGGTTTGAGTTTGGATATGAAAATTAGAGAAAATCCAAATCACAGCCTGACCAGTGTGGTTAACTAAATCCTGATGCTGATGATCTATTTTATTTGTAAATTTGATTTCAACTCCGTACCATTTGAAATGGAAATTATAAAATCAAAGATTCATTCTTCCTAAAAGCTTGTCTTCTTCTAGTTGTCGGTAAACTCTAGCCCCAACAAGTAATGGCAAATATTAGATGGGATGGTTTTCCAGAATGATTGAAGATGTACAGATCAGAAAGGTGAAATGAAGAGTTGGCCAAATCTTGAAGAACCTAATTGAAAGATCTGATTTATAAGTCTTCTTTTTTCATGTTATTTTAGCAACCCTATAATAATAACAAAATGATGTCAAGTCATCAATATTTAATGATGTTTGGTGGCTCCACGATAGAGAAAAGAACACCAGAATCATATGGAACAAAATGCATGAATGTAGACATTAAAGACATGTTTGGTCAGCATTTTTTTTTGTCTCAAATGCTTAGTGGTTTCACATTTTTATCCCATTTTTGTCCCTTATGTTTGGGCATGAAAAATGCACGAATAGAGAGAATTGGACATGTTTGGTGGTTTCACGTTTCAACACTCATTATAAAATTTGTGTTGAGAATTGGACATGTTTGATGAGAAATTTATGTTGAGGGTGAATATATAAAAATTTTATGTTGAGGGTGAGGGTTAAATTATAAAATTTTAGAGGTGAAATTATAAGATTTTAGGGAGTGAGAACATATTATTAATAGAAAATATGAAAAAATATCTAAACTATATGAGAATTTAAAATTTTTAGGGAATGTATCTCCCGCTTGCCCCTTAATCTATCCCTAACTAGATGTATTGATTAGCGTAAAAGATATCTTTGACCAATTATATTTATCTAAAATTTTTAATTTTATTTTAGGAAAGTGTGGTAGGCGAAACATTATTCTCAATTCATTTATTCACATTAAGGTAATGTTTGTTTTTGAAGAGGTAAAATGTCTGCAGTCTACAGACCACATCTGCAGGCATCTGCAGTAGAAGAGGTGGACCAAAAGTTTGTAGTCTGCAAGAAGAAGACTGTTTTTTAACGTCTGCAGACTGCTAAAATAAACTGAAATATAAATAAACTGATTTTTTAAACTTAAAAGAGTTTTGCAATACCGAAATTTAAATAATTTTAGTTTTACAATACTGAAATTTAAATAATTCATACAACTACAATAATAATTTTTTTAGAAAAACAAACACCACCTTATTAATTCTATTATAAGTCTCACATAATCACATGTATTATTAGTTTTATAAGTTTTATAGAATAAAATTTATAAATGATCATTAAATTATATGATTTTTTTAAATATGCAATTATGTAATACTTTTAATTTTTTTAAATATATATTCATAATTTATTTTTATAATTATATGATATTTTTTAGAAAATATTTTTTAATTTATCAAATTATTTTATGATTATTTTTTTATTTAATTGTGATTATATTTTAAAATTTTAAAAACATAATTTATAATTTTTTATATTTTAAAATCTTAATTATCAAACAATGAAATCATTTTTTATTAAGCAATGTGGTTTAAATACTTACATTTTGTATAAAAAGTTTAAATATAATTTAAAAATAATAAATCCAAAAAAATATTATATTTAAACTTAAATCAAAATAATTAAAATAAATATAAAATTTTAATAATATATAAAATAATTTATATTATATAAAATTAAATATCTATAATATAATATTAAAAAATTAATATTTAATTTATTAAAAAAATTAATATCAAAATTAATATCTATAATATAATATTAAAAAATTAATATTTAATTTATTTGAAAAATTAATATTAAAATTAAAATCAAATATAATATAAAATTAAATATAAAACCTCTTTGAAGAGGTTAGAAGACGTATGCAGACATAAAACCACGTCTGCGCTGCGCAGACCACTCGCAGACGTTAGAAGAGCTTCTGTCTTCTAAAAAACAAACGATCTGCGAAGCCAAATGTCTGCACGTGGTCTGCACGGCACAGACATAAAAGCTTTACAAACCTTACATAGTAAAAATAAATACCACCAAAGACTCTTCGCCTAAAACTACTGCGGAGTACTTGCACCAAGACAAATTTTGTGTCTTAGGTCCTTGGAGGTTGTAAGTTGCAATAGTCATTTATTTTTACATTCATAGAGATGTGGAAACCAGATACGAATCTTTCATATTTCATGTAAGGAGTATAAAATCATATTAGAGGATATTTCACTTTAGTTAGATCTCCCAATTAATAGTTATGTTTTGATCAGTACGAGTGGTGCAGACTGCCTTGGTCTATGCTACTTATTGCTTTGGAAGTTGTCGAATGAGCTCAATGATGGTTGAATCTCTATGACGTGGATTGCAAAAACTTCAACAAATTTAAGAGATGTTATACTTCGAACATGAGCTAGAGTTATTAACACATCATAGGGTCATAGGAGTATTCTAGAGATTGTTTGAAGAAATCAGATTACTAATTGATCTTACATGCGGAGCTTTGGAGCATCTACGAAGGGTTGCTCATTGCATGGAGCCTAGGCATTCCCAGGCTATGGATCCAATCTGATTGCAGCCGGGCAGTAAAGTTGGTAGAAGATGGTGGAGCAATTGATAGCCATATTCCTTTACCTCGTGCAATTATGAACTTGCGGCAGCATCGAACTTGGACGAAAAAAATCCAATGGATTCCAAGAAATGGAAACAAGATTACAGACAGGATGGCAAAACTTGCCTCGTGGCAACATTTCAGAATGGTTCATTTTGATTCTCCCCAAACGAGCTTGCTGATCTCCTAGCTTTAGAAGCAGGCATCGCACAGCAAGAAGATGGCCTTAGTCTTACATAGCCTACTGTTTTAGGCTTCTTTTAATTCAAATAATAATAATAATAAGACTAATTGCTAATAACTACAAATTTCATATTATTATCTTAATTGCTAAAAATTTATTTATAAGTTTAGGATTAGTAATAAAAATAATTGTTCTTTTGTTGTTTGAAAGGATACTTTAATTAAATCATGAATCAGTGGTTTCCATCCCATGAGATAAAAGTGATCCATTAGACATATGACATGCGATTCTATCTTTTATATGCTATGTAATTGATAAATGACATTTGAATGGTCGTATATTATAATAATTTAAGTTCGCACAATCTATTGTGAAATCAACTATTAACCTAGACAAGATATATAAAATTAACAGACTATACCTAGACAAGATATATAAAATTAACAGACTATGAAAGACAAATGATGATTGGATAAAAAAGCACGTCAATTGATTAATGAATACAATATGTGACCGTTTAGATTCGATCGTAATGTCTAGACCAGATCTAAGAGGTTACATAATAAAATCAAATTAATACTCAAAACTATACATAATCATAAAACACTAACATAAACTATAATATAAACACGTGTACATGCTACACAGTTTAATATACACAAAGGAGTCAATAATATACGCTTGAGAAAAAGGAAACGATTCTAAAAATGCAACTTCACGAACTTCATACAATCACAACAAATCGATAATATACATAGAAATGACAGAACGACCCGAACCCGACGGGAAAATCGGAAACTCGGCTAAATTCGGGTCGAGTTTGAATAATATCGGATTAGATTGGGTATCAGAGATTTTTTCGGGTTCGGGTTCGGTATCGGGGCAAAGTATCCCGCCCCGATTATATATATATATATATATATATATATATATATATTTAACCTAGGTTTCTCACCCGATCCTCACTTTACACTCTTATCTTCGGAATCCACGATTATTAGCAGCTGCTCTCTTCTTTCTCCATATCCAATTTTCTCACCATCAACAAATCTTCCTTTCATTGTTCATTTTCATTTACGAACTATAGTTAAATTGCACCCGGTAACGTCAGGTTCGTACTTCCTTTATGTGTTTACTTTTCTATACATTCGATTCTGCTATTTGATTTTCGATTTTGTTACTTTCGATAGGGTTGTGTATTTCTATCCTTACCTTCTCAGTTTCCTTTAATTTTGGTTCTGAATCTAGTAGTCACGGTTGATTTTTTGATTAATTATATTTTGAGGGGCTTTTGAATCGGATTTAATCTCAGGGTTTTGTTTGATTAAGGGATTTTAATAGAAATTTATGTTTTCTCATTTAATTGCTCAGCATTTTCATTGACTGCGCTGTTTTGGATGCCGTAGAAAATTAGATTCCCTACTCTCTTAATTGCAATTACTTTTAGAGATTGTTACAATTTACGTGTAGACATATACCCATTGATAAATGGCAGATTTCTGCATTTTTCATGTCTTCAGCTATGATGCTCAGCACTAAATAAAATCATCCTTTTTTCTTGGATTTTTCTATTCGTTTGCATACAAGCTAGTTTGTACATTTTTTTTGAAACATTGATGCCTTTCTAACAGTATATCTTGAAAGACGAATCTTCATGTTTTTTGGGCTTTGTCCCTGGTAAAGACTTTACGAGTCTTTGATTGTTGAAAACTAGTCATTTTTGTTCGCTTTGGTTGCACTTCTATTTATTAGAGAGTTGTGAGTTGTGTATGGTTTGCATATTTTCATCCTTACATTCGGATGAACGTGAAACACATGGATATGAAAATCTTCTCATGGTTGATAATTTGATCTGATAAACGCAGTTAAATGAATCAAGTATATTTCATTTGGATTGTCATGCTTTGTCAGCAGCATTTATATAGAATGAATTAATTGTTTGTTTATAAGCTAGGAACTTCAGCAAAAACAAAAAGTTTCTTTTGTCAGTA